TGGCGAAGATGGTCAGGCCTATCCGGGTGGGGGGGGGGGGGGGGTGCACAGACTGTCTCGCTTGACTGTGGGCGAGGGCGCGGGGAGAGTTCACGTTCAATTCTCTCGGCAGGCTGGGTGGGTGGGGAGGAGGTACACAGATGTGGCTCGCTCGTCAGGGGGGAAGGGTCTATATAGAGGGTGGCTTGATCGCCTGCTCATAAAAGGAATATGCCGAATCATATATGTTAGGGTGAATGTCTGGGAAAATGATCGCTCATAGCCCGCAAAAAAAAAAAAATGTCACCCCCTCCTCTTTGCGAGCCGTAACACACAAAAAACAAAATACCCGACGAGAAGCAACTTCTAATCACGTCGACCCCAGAGGCGTAACGAAAAGAAAAAAAAAAACACACACACACACAGAACCAAAAGAAACCGAAACTTTACCATGGCCATCCTTCCCTTCGCGAAGCGCAACAACAACAAAATCACGCAACTAGAAGCAACTTTGGCTTTACCTCATCGACCCCTCCCCTTCGCGAGGCGAAACAACAACAAAAGTATCGAACCAAAAGAACCCCAACGTCCCCTTGTCGACCCCTTCCTTCCCTTCGACAAGCGCAACAACAACAAAATCACCTAACCAGGAAGCGACTTTTGGCTTTACCTCATCGACCCCACCCCTCCGCGAGGCGTTCTTGCCCGCCTCGAACAGGGTCACCAGCTCCGCCTCCGTGGTGCCGTTGTCCGCCCGCATGTCGGCGAAAAAGGAGTCAGCGCCGCCCTTGGCTTCAGCTCCGATTACTGTCTCCTCCCCCTTCTCCCCTTTCTGAAAAGAGGAAAGTAAGCGTAGCACAGCAAGCAGGCCATTGTGGGGAGCTTCTCCTCCCTTTCCCGAAAAAGAGAGAAAATAACATAGCTATAGCAAGCAGGTCATTGCGAGGGCTCTGAACCCTTCTCCCCGTCCTGAAAAAAAGGAGAAAATTAAGCAAGCATGATTTTTTTTTTTTGTCTTCACTTCAAATCAGCGCTCACAGCACTAGTAGTGCCGTTTACTCCAACCCGCGGTCACACAGAAGAGCCCCTCTCTACCCTCCCCTCCTGCGGTACTTTGCCTTCTTATTGCAGGGGGATGACTTCTCACCGCCTTCCGGACTGAAAGCAAGTGAGGGCATTGATGACTGATTCAAACCAAATATAGCGGCAAGCTCTGTCGCTGGTCGGCGGTCATGTGTGGTGCAGACTTCCTCGGGCTTGCGTGTGTTTTCACTATTAATACTATCATCGACCGCGCCAACCGGCTGACCAATGAAAAGACGTCAGTCTCAATATGGTTGAAAACACAAAACACTTCTACATGCCGTTAACTGGGGCCCCGTGAGGGGGCTTGTGTGTGTGTGTGTGCCTGTGTGCCTGTGTGCCTGTGTGCCTGTGTGTGTGTGTGTGTGTGTGTGTGTGTGTGTGTGTGTGTTTCAAATGACTGCTCAGTTTCGGTACTGGGGAACACGTTTCGATCAACCTTTACCGGGAAAGAAGGCGACCAATGACGCGAAAGAGGACCGACCACCGACTGTCGTATGTACGCATTGCTCTCCTGGTCTTCATGGTCCACATGCCAAAGACCTCTCTCTCCTCAGCTTCTGCACCTCTACGAAGAGATGGGTGTTGCTATCGAGATTGACTCCATCATGACTATCGCCACCATCAATAACGAACGCGCGTATACGCGAGTGCAGCAGCGATGAAACCAACCAGTACATCTTGTGTCATATTACAACCTCGAGTCGAAACTGAACACCACCAGATCGATGTCATGAACATACGCATACAGCAGTGGAGGTCCCTCAGTAGTGCCGGTATGTGCCCGATAGACTCACCGGCACAATACCGGGCACATACCGGCACTATTCAGACAAAAAGACAAGCTGGAGCATTGAAAATTCAATCCGTGTGAATCGAATCCACTCCATCCGTGTCACGCTATTTCACCGGTGGCACTATACCGGGCAGTGGCATTGTTGTGGTACCCCCACCACAGCAGCTGCACAAGGCTTCACTCACCTCCATGGTCTTGAAGAGCTCGAAGACCTGCGCGTCTAGCTTAGGCTTGTCCACCTCGTCGAACAGAGTGTCCATGCTAGGAACCTCATCCTCTTGCTGTTCGGCGGGCGCCCTGTCAGACAAAAACGCAACCGACATCGAAGTGGAGAGAAAAATAAGGGATAAGGGCAACATGAGAG